GTACTTTTTTTTTTTTTTTTTTTTTTGATTTGTAACCATTAGGGTATTAAAAGAAACGAATTAATTCAAATCAGTCATAGTTAAAGAGATTCAAAATTTGTTTTAGATGTTAGACTAACACAACCATTTAATAGGTGGCCTTCATATGGCCTATGCAAACCAACAATATATTTTTTTACGAGTTTTTATTTTATAGAACACTTTCACCAGTATGTGTTAGCTCATGTGATCATACCACGATCATGTAAGTGAGGCAAGGATTTTGTCTCCAGGGTGGAATGCCAACAATTTTTAAGGAATAAAGAGTAACAGAAGACCAATTACAAATTTGGGGGTATTTTAGGAAACACACACACACACACACACATCACAACATTTCATTTAAAGCATCTTTGTGTTTTTAAAACCAGGGAAAGTTTGCTATTCAAACTTCCATAATGTTTTTGAACATTATCAGATATTTTAGAGAAAGGATAATAGTTGTTTTTTAAAATTTTTTAAATGGCTGATCCTTTTCTCTAATGAATGATCAGGAAAGCAGAGGTGAGAGGTGACTTCACAGGCAGATATATATCCATGTGTGCACATCTGTGTGCGTAGTTTCTGATTACATCCCACTCAGGTAACAAGGAGCCTGGTCAAAGTAGGACTCTCAGGTGGGGAGGGAAGTGGGATGCTGAGCTCTCAACACCGTACGGGGAGACAATGAGAATCAGGTGTGACCAAGGCCATCCTTAATGTCCTGTGCTCTTTGCAACTAGAGAGTTAGAGTAAAATGCATCGGCCTGAGAGTTGCTCCTGGGGGCAAGTCTGCAGGCCCTGATCTGCAGAAAGTGACAGCTCAGGGCTGGGTCAGTGTACAGGACCCCAGTGCAGTGTCCCTGGTGAAACACCCATTTCTTCCGTAAAGCTGATGTGGGCGCAGAATTGCGCTGTGTGAACTGGAGGCACGAGGATGCCCTTTTGCCGTGGCTGGGTTTCTCCAGGAGCCCAAGTCCTTAAGGCGAGGCATGTTTGCTTGATGCTGATGTCACTCGCCTCAGCCCTGCTGGTCATTTCTCATGCTCCTCCTGCTGCTAGAAAAGTCCTCTCATTTCCCTTCCATCTTGGAGCTGGTCTGTGGGGTAACAGGGCCTTCCGGAGAAGGCAGAGCCTGAGCGTTGGGGTCAACACACAGCAGTGAGATGAAGACACCAGGAATAGGTAAGCACCCAAATTCTGGCCCCAGCAACCTGTTAGGAGGAGTGTGACAGGCCCAATCCAGAGTCTCTCTAGGGAGGTGAGGAACCTGGGGGAAACACACAGCAGTCCTTCTGAGGAGGTGCCCAGCTGGTGCTGATAAAACATCTGTCCACTCCTCTGCCAGACTCTGAGGAGCCAACATCAGCACAGGACCCTGGACAAGGAGCTGGTGCTCTGAGATGGCTAGAGCAGCAGACATTGCAGAAGTGCAAAGGGCGCCCACCTCAAGTTTCTGGTGGGCATGGAGGCAGCTGGAGGGAAGGACGCAGCATCGTTCAACCATTGCTGGTGGGTCCCAGGTGAGGGTGGGAGGGGCCCCAAGATAGCGAGTTGACTTGATGCAGCGGTTGTTCATGTCTAGTTCAGAGTTGCGACATAAGGGGACAGGGGCTTCTTGACACTTCAGGGCTCGCCTCTGTCCATAGCCCTGGCTTCCCTGCTGCCTCCACCCTTGCAGGTTTGAATCTCCCCCGCTCCTCTCCTCTCTGTGTGAATATATTCAGAGTTGACTCCACAGGGGGGGAGTGGAGTATTTGGCAGTGGTTACTTTGCTGCAGGCCCTGCATTTTTCATGAAACAGCACCAAGATCGATCGCTCCCTCTCTCCTCTCTTAATGCTGGAGGCTCAAAAGACAGGGATCTGGTCCCTCCGAACCACATCCAGGTCATCATCCAAGGTTAACAAGACCTGAAAGGAGAGGGACGGAGAAATGAAATGCATGCGCAGTCACAGCCACAGTAAGTCGTTACTTTCTCTCTCAGACACATGCGGATTGAAACATGTGCCTTTACTCGTTTTCATGTCTTCTGCGGCCTTCTACAATGCCGTGCCCTGAACAGGCACTTATTTTAATGACATAGCTCATTTATTAATTAATCAAGGTCTACCATGTGCTATTCTAGGTGCTGGAGATACAACTTGCAATGACAGAGGCAAAAAATCCCTACCCTCCTGGAGAGGGCTTCAGACATGAAGCAAATACATGAGTAAAACATATGTAGTATGTTAGACAGAAACATGTGCTAAGTATAGTATGTTAGATGGTAATATATACTAAGGATAAAAGTCAAACTATGACAAGAACATGGAAGTATGGGGTACGGGAGGTAAAAACATGTTGAGAGGTGGCTGAGGAAGTCCTTACTTTGAAGGGACCATTTAGGTCAAGACCTAAAGGAAATGAAGTCTTATTGCATAAAGTGTTACTACACATAAAGTGTATCCTCCTCCTCCATTTTTAGGCCCCTCCACCATCACTCTCTCCACATCGAACCCTTCACTCCATTTCTGTCTCTCTCTAATGAAAGTGACTCAAAAATAAAAGCCTTAAGCAAGAGTGAGTATACAGAGTAAACTTCTGAAACTGGCCACCAGGGGGTAGCCCTGCTCCACTATTGAGGCAATAAGGCCAGCAGAGACTGCTTAAAGTGGGCAGTATTGGGACTCTGACCTACTCCTATTTGTCATGAACCTGTGCAGGTACCATGGGTTTTTAATTATGAAAGTCAAAATTAATGTGGAAGCATGCCGGAAGTTATCTTCCGAGGATGTTATAATACGCGTGGCTTCTGGGAAGATGTTTGGGTTAAGAAATGAAGGGACTACATGAAAGATTTGGAACTGATAGGTTAGAAGGCAACAGAGGCCTGGATGCTATCCTTAGCTACTCCAGGAATTTGTAAATGACTTATCTTTACTGAGACTGAAAGGAGGAATGTGAAGATAGCATAAGGAGGAATAGCCTAATGCTATCGAAATTTTAGTGGATGCCAAAAGCAGTGCCTGGGGGATTCTGGGCATGTGAGTTCGGCTAACCAAATGTTGTGAAGCTTAAGGAAAATCATTTTGTCACTCTGTGTCTTAAACTATTGAAGAATAAAGAAAAATAACTAACCAGAAGATACAATGTAAAAAATGAAACAATCGGTACATTAAATTACAATGCAGAATTGGAAAGGGAAATTAGAAAGGAATAAAAAAGAAAGAGGGTGTAAGAAAGAGGGAAGGAGAAAAAAGACAGAGTACAAGATGTAAAGAGAGGACAAATTAACAAAAAGGTATCAACTCACCAAGAATGAGAAAAACAGGGCAGTGGCAGAGAGGAAGTGCCAGATGTCATGCTCATCAAAGAAATCCAGCAGGACACATTCCCGGTTCTTCTCCCGGGACTCAGCTGGGGTTCCCTGGAAGAAGGTGAGGCTGGATGTGGGCGAGCATTCCCACAGTTCAGCTGTTCAGAGGGCTGAGCTTCCAGAAAGCTACACAAATGCTACTAGAGGCCCGCCTCAAAAAGTTAGCTTCCAAGAAAACATATGTTCACACACAAAAAAACTTGCACATAAATGTTCAGAACAACATTATTCGTAAGAACCCCAAAGTGGAAACAACCCAAATGTCCCATCAACTGATGAATGACTAGATAAAATGTAGTGTATCCATACAATGGAATATTATTCAACAATAAAAAGACATGAAGTAGGGATACATGCTACACCATGAGTGAATCTAGGAAACGTTATGCTACATGAAGAAAGTCAGGTTCAAAAGTCACAGAGTATATGATTTCACTTCTGAGAAGTGTTCAAGTTGGGCAGAACTATAGAGACAAAAGATAGTTTGGTGGCTGCCTAGGGCTAAGGAATTCAGGAGAAATGGGGAGTTTCTTTATGGAGTGATAAAATGTTCTAAAATCGATTGTGGTGATGGTTTCACCAGTCTGTGAATGTACTAAAAACCATTAATTGTATACTTCAAATGAGTGAATTATATGGTATTGAATTACATCTCAATAAATAAAAAACTCAACCCAACATCTAATCCCCAATTCAAGCCACCTCAGACTCAACTCTCATCTAACTGATCCCAGCTTGACTTACCAAACTGACAATTCCCACCCCCTACCCATAGCAACTGCTACTTACCTCTACTCAGTTCATCCTACATCTCAAAGCAACCCTAATTCAATTTAATCCAACATCCAACTCCAAACCCTGAATTCAATCCACTCATTGTCCATCCTCCACCTCAACAGATATCATTAATTCACAACCCCAGACTCATTCAACTCACTCCAAACGAACCTCCAATTCAACTCATCCTCAACCCATTTTCAACCCCTAAATTCCAGCCCCAAACTCACTTCAAGGCTCAACTCCTAACTCATTTCTCTTCACCTCCAACTCATACTGACTTGCTACCCAGACCTTTGACATCTAGTCCTTTCATTTCAAATCAAAACCACATCCCATGTCATCTCTCCATGTATCCCCTCAGCCCAAGCCAGTGTCTCCAGGACTAATCAAGATTAACATGGAGATCTATCTTTCTTTCAGCCGCGGGCCCAGGCGCTGCGGCTCCCAGCCGCCTCGCTTACCTTCATGATGATGTAGAAGGCCAGGTAGAGCAGCAGGTTACCGATGAAGATGCCCAGCATGTAGGAGGCAAAGTCCCTGGGCCGGTAGATCAGTCCAAAGAGGGCGCTGAGCACACAGGGAGGAATTATTTTGCAGCCACGAAGGTGGATTTGTGACATTATTGACTTTTTTCACTTCCCCACTCCCATTTTTGCAAGGAGGGGAATTAAAAAAAAACCTCTTTAACATATTATAAGTAACTTTTAACAGATTGCATTTCCTTCAGCACATTCATTTTTAACGATCGATCGTAATTTTCCCATAAGTGGATGCACCATAAAGAATTGCCTTTCCTCTCTGGTTGCAACGAAGGGTTTTCCCTCCGCCCCTCAGTTTCTCACTATTATAAAGAACAACACAATGAATGAATGAACGAACACCTCCAGACATACTGTGCTTGCTTTTGCACTGAAGATTACTTCGTTAGACTAGCTTACAGTACTAGAAGTAGAATTATCCCAATAATTGGCTTGAAACACATGACCAACTTTGGATAGCTGTCTATGGTTTTAAAATTAATGCTAAAATTTATTACCCCATCTTACAGTCACCAGGTCTGCGGGGTCTGCCCTAAAAGGGTGGCCCCAAACAGCCCCGCAGGTGACCACTGCCAAGAATCGTCCATCTCGACTCATCCCCGTGTAAAGCAGGGGCCCTGCACAGGCATAAGCCTTATCCCGAGGGCAGCCCTTGGTGACAGCACTGTGGGGAGTTTCTTCCAGAAGCATATGGTGCCCCAATAAGATTCAAATTGTCCTGAAGAGATTCTGGCTTCCCTGAAGGTATACCTCTTTCATTTCTTATATGTCTTAAAGGGCAACAGAAGTAGAGAGTTATCTTTCTATCAAAGGTCTCTGACCTAGAGGTGCCCATCAGCTAAGAACCACTAGTAAAAGCAGCTAAACTTACTTATCTTTGAGGGATTAATAAATTATCTCACTCATTCTTATATTTTTTGAATCTTCACCTGAGGATATATTTCCATTGATTTTTTAGAGAGAGTGGGAGAGAGAGGAAAAGACAGAGAGAAACATCGATGTGAGAGAAACACATCGATTGGTTGCCTCCTGCATGTGCCTTGCCCAGGGCCCGGGCCGGGGAGGAGCCTGCAACCGAGGTACATGCCCTTGACTGGAATTGAACTCAGGACTCTTTGGTCTGCAGGCTGACACTCTATCCACTGAGCAAAACTGGCTAGGGCTGAGAATATGTTTTTATTGATTTGAGAGAGAGAGAGAGAGAGAGAGAGAAAGGAGGGGGGAAATGAAAGAGAAAAAAAGAAAAGAGAGAAAGAGAGAAAGAGAGAAAGAGAGAGAGAAACATCAACTGGTTGCCTCCTTCCTGCGAGCCCTGACAAGCCTTTCTGGTGTACAGGATGATAGTCCAAACCACCTGAGCCACCCGGCCAGACTCATTCACATTTTTTAGTTGAAAATAGGTTGCATAAAATAGATACAGCTAGAAAAAATATACGTCTATTGTACTGTTCTATTTTGAGGCCATTTGCAGGAAAAAGGGCCGATAAAGAGAGAAAGAAGAGGAAGAATGATGTAGGTGGAGTAGGAAGAACGAGACCTAGGGGGAGAAACAATAACTAGGAAAGAGACTTTTACACACACACACACACACACACACACACACACACACACACGCACTCTAAGACAAATGGCTGGGTAGCCTTTATGGAAAGTTCTTCAAAAATATTTAAAGCTACATTGCATTTTTGCAACTACAGACATAATATCTATCTATCTATCTATCTATCTATCTATCTATCTATCTATCTATCTAATCTATCCACTAATTCGATGTTTGTCTTGTTGAGCAAATGAACTCAATGCTTTGAACTCAACGCTTTAAGAGGGGCTACTATTGGTACACAAGAGCTTCTTAGTGCATTCTTTGCAGGAGAAAAATGCCTTTCTCTCAAGTCTCTAGGGCAAGCTCAATCCTATGGTCTCCTTAATTTCAGATTTGTTTATAAAAATGACAACCAAGGAAAGCGAAACCGCAGTGTTAGAGACATTAATAAAGAGGAAAAAGGTGTCTTCCTAAGATTACTTACAAGGACCAGTTAATCAGATTCCCCACGACGAGCAACACCATTCTGTCCTGAAAAGGAGGAGAGAAAACACTGAAAACCCCTCAGCCTCAGCCCCCTCAATTTTTAGTGCCCACAGGTCCTGACAAGCTGTAGTGGGCTAAGGGGCCCCCACATTCCTCTTTGTAAAAATCCTCTGATTGTAAACCATTAGCAGGTGCTAAGGGACCACAGACTAGTGATGCTATTTGGCAGGGCACACGGGGTTCCCTGAGCACCTGCCAAGGTGGGGGCAGTGGCTCAGAGGGCGTGTGTAGCTTTCCCAAGGTCACTGCCAATGAGCCGAGACATCGCTATGACCAGGGCCCTGATTCCTGTGCTCAGTGTAGAAATGTATAATATACCGAAAACCAGAATGGAGAATTTAAAAAAGTTGTGTTTCAACCACTAAGCAAGATCCACAATTTTGAAAAAATATCCTTGCTCATTGTACAAAAAACAATGCATAAAAATCAAACAAATGTATAATGGGGGCAGTGTAAGTTCCTAAGGAAAGTTACTGGAGTGGCCATAGGTCCCAGTTTGCTTGAGACGGTCTGGCTTATGCCTGCCGTCCTGGTGCGGTTGTTAATAGTGCCCCTTTCACTTACCCAAAAGAAATCACCTTACCTCCTCGGAGGGTTATTTACAGGGACGCCCCCACAGCAGTGATCACTGTTTAATAGTTCTGTACA